TTTCACTGTAGAAGAATTAAATTAAATTTTAATAAAGTCAGAGACATGGTCTCACCATTAATATTTAAAAAAAATATATTCAAAATAACTAAAGTATAAATATAAAAATACAACTCTAAATAAAAAATAATAAAATGCTTTATTATAAAAATTAAATATAAACAATAATTTCGATAAATTTATTTTCAATTATTTATAATATTTGATTTGTCAATATATAGACTAATCGTATTATATTTTTTTAAAATTTTTCAAATATCTTCAAAAATTTTTAAAAAATTTCACAATTTTTTGCATTTTTAGAAATTGTTATTTCCAAATTTATTTTGAAATTTTTCACAATTTTTTCACAATATTTCGAAATTTTTTTCAAAAATTTTTGAAACTTTTATTTTTCAAAATTTTTTACAATAAACGCAATTTTTTCAAAAAATTTTGGCATGTAAATTTTTTTGAAAATTTTAATATATATTTTTTGATGATATAGTCAGTCTAGAAATGTCTGAAGAGCAAAACTACTATTTCTGATAGATTTGCAATATCATTCCTGATAGAATTAAAAAAAAAAATTATATACTATTCTTATAAAGATCCATATACCGTTTCTGATATGACTCTAAATTATTCCCTAGCCAAATTATCTTGATATCGTCTGTTAAATTGTTATGTACAATAAATCAATTATACATAGCGATAATAATGGCAATGTATCGATTATATTTTATGCTATGTACTATTATTTAGAGTTGTACTAATACTAGGTATAGTATTATTTAATATAGTGCCAGATACTAGCACTAAGGTTTAATAGTACCATACCTGTGGCACTTACTTTATTAGATTTGATGCTTTTACCAGTACTATAACATCATATTACGTATCATGAGTATAAAAAGAATAATTTTTGCTTTACTTAGTTGTTGGTTCAACTTTTATATTTCGAATGATAGATGTTAGTTTAACCCTAATTCTTGTAAATATTTAATACATACTGTACATATCGATATATTATATAAACATAAAGATATACCACTTTATTCATGTTGCAAGTAGCTGGTGTAAATACTTTCTAAACTATTTATTTGTTTTAGTAACATAATAACTGGCTTTTGAACTTGCATTCATCTTTGACTCCATCTTTGGCTCCACTCTTGGCTCCACCCTTGGCTCAACTCTTGAAGTGTTGTGATATTTACCTCTGGCTCACCCTTGAACTGTTGGGCATTTGTTTTAGCACTTAAACTATCATAGCATTCACACTGGTCCTTAAACACTTGTAGTATTTACTTACCTCAAATAATCAAGATCAAATTGGAAAAAAAATCACCAACATACCTATAAATATATCCCTATATATCCGAACTTTAAATATAATAAAGCATGTATGTAAATTAATACTTTAGTTCAATATAGCGAGTGTGATTAATTTTTTTTTTTAAAAAAATATATTAATAATTTTTTTTTTTACTTCAAAACCAGAATGTCATTAAAATGAGCATACAAGGTTCTTTCCTACAATATCATGTTAATGCTGATGTGATGAAAGCATTAGTTTACCTTTTGGTCGTACAGTTGAGACATACATTAACTTTCTGCCATTGCTAAAAAATTGCAAACTTAAAAAACAAAGTAGATTAAATGTAAATGAAAATATTAGATCAGGACTCATTATTTTAAAATGTGTTGAAGAGGCAATTGACTATATTTCTTGGAAAACCATTCAAGGACAAGTGAAATTGACAAATAAGCTGGATGATCTACTTGAACTTACTGACAAGGGTCATGCAAGAGTAGCTAAAATCAAACAAGGTTTAGCTTTAGATTTAATAGTGTAGCGATGGATCCTCTTTTGTGATAGTAGTAATAATTGTCAGAGGGCTTGTGGTGAAATTAGAGAATATCTCCAGAACTGTTCTAACTATTCTTTAAAGAACAATCTTAAAAATGATTTTGACACATATAAGTATGCAGTACGAATTATAACCAAAGTTATACTTTCAAATATTGAAGAAGCTTTACCAGTACAATTGTTTATTGAAGGTACACACCGATCACAATACATACTAGCAGTGCCAGAGACAAAATTAAAAAGAATTAATCTTAGTCTCCAAGCTTGCGATGAAGTAATTGCTGCACGTCATGCACACCGAAGTACTGGAGCTAAAATTGCAATGAAATTGTTGGCACCATATAATAACACAAATAAAAATCAGCTTAAATATGCACATGAAAGTTGTAAAAATTTATGTTCAGAACAGCAACTTAAAAGACTAGTTGAGCATGATAATGTTTGGTTACGTGAAAGTATTGGACCATGGATTATCTTAGATCAGTTGGTTAATAATGAACTAAAAAATCAAGGAAAAGTACTTTATTACCAGCATCGTGATGCTTCTGCTCCTGTAAATAGCCCTGAATATTATTACCAATTAACTGTAAGTGATGAAATGTAGCTTCAACAGGGTCGTGATTGTGGATATTTCTGTTTTGGGATAGACGGAAAATATGTTTTAAATAATGAAAAAGCATCTGTGCTTACTATGGTGGTTGAGGATCAGGCAGATATGGGTCTCCATTAGCATTTTGTCTTAGTAACAAAGAAAATCATCATACTATAAAGATGGCTATACAAGCAGTACAAGCAAACATTCCATGCAATGATCCTAACTGTGAACATAAATATCAATACATTAATTTCTAAAATGGAAATTGGAATCTGCTAGCCATGATGGACAAACACCATCCTACTAAACTTGCTCTACAAGGCCTTATTCATAGTACAATTCTTTGTTGGTTTCATACCATATCAACATTGGGTGAACATTTAAAAACATGGAAAGTGGATTTGTCGCTACGATATTCTATAGCATTAGCCTTTAAGATTGTAGGCCGAAGTAAGTCGGATGAAGAGTCATATATAATGGAAAAAGAATATAAAAACTTTATTGTTTCTTTGCCGCTTGATCATGATACAAAGAATTTTTTAATAACTGATTTAGAAAAAAATTGGCTTTGTGATAAATGGAGGCAGTGTTTTATTGATGGAGGATAGGCTCCTCAAATATATGATCCAATTAATGCAAAACTAATGACAACAAACAATTTAACTAAACGAATGCATAAAACAGTAGAAACACGACGTAGTGGAACGCAAATGGTCATATCATTTATTGAGCACTTATATGGTATTAGGACCTTTAAAAGCTCTCTAATTCAAAGTAAACTTAGTGAAACTTCATTCAACATGGGTTTAGCAACCTACTGAAATATGCGTACACTTGAATTTAAGCAAATGACACCAAAAAAAACCAATTGATATGAAACATCAAATTAACCAGGGGCATCTTTATGTCCTGCTTAATTTGATTAAATCAGTAAATGAGCACAACAATTATATATTTGTTGAAAAACAATGTAAAAAGTTTTACTCACCATATAATGATTATTCAATTAGTATGTCAGCAGAATTATTAGAAAAAATTAACGCAATGATTATTAAATTAGTAAATAGAGATAATATTGCTGTACCAACAAATTATTATCTTGCTAATCTATCAAATGAAGAATGTACATGTTATAATTATATCTGAAATGGTTCTTACCGAGATGTTTGTAAACATGTACATGCTGCACGATTGTATGTAGAATTATTAAGTGAAAAACTGCAAGCACAAGAGATTAAACAAAAGTTAGTAAAACATTTTAGAAATAAAGAGTGTACAGTTGCATCAGAAAAAAAAATTATATACTTTATAGTAGAACAGTTGATGAGGCTTATTAGAAAATCTTGTGGCTTTTTGATATTGTTGGCAACGATATTTTCTTTTCTTCTAATTGAAGAACAATAGCCGAAGATCCTTTCTGTCCAATAAATACACCTGCCCTTACGATAACTGGGTCGCCAAAAAACCATAAAGCAAAATATTGAAAGTCCAGTCACTTTTTTAATTATAATGAATTGTCAGATGAAATGACTAACAAAGAATCTGTTGAAAGCTCTGAAACCGATATTCTTTCAGATTCTACTCAATATTTTAATAGTAGTATGACTGATGATAATATAAAAGCAGAACACTGTGATATTTCAAGTAATATAGATTCTTTAGAAAATCCTGTTGACACTTTCTACTCTATTCACTACCGTAATACTACAAGAATTTGAAATAAACGTCGAAGTTCTGCTAAAACCGTAAGCTTATTAATAATTATTTAATTATTAAATATTTGCAGTTATTTATTATTTTTATTATTTTTCTAGCCACGAATAACAAGTAATGAAAAGGAAAATGATGCTACATTGGCAGTAAAAAGGTCTCTTAAAGAATTATTTTGTGAAAAAGAGTGTGACTGGAACCCCAAAGAATTTACAAGTGCAGCGGTAGTGAAATGATTATGCTTGAATGATAATCCTGTCAAAAATAGTGTAAAATTATATAGGTGGAGTAATCAAAAGATTCAGGCAAAAATGCGTAAGACGGTTTTAAAATGATAATACTTAGCTTATTAAAAAAAGTATTTAATTGCTAATAAATTAAAAGTTTGCTATGCTAAAAAATTATGATTTATGATTATCCAATAAGAGGTTATGAACTCTCTTTAGATTGTATATTTTCATTTATTGTAAAGTTTTAACTAATATATCTGGGTATTTACAAAAACTTGAAATATACTCAATATACATTTATCATTTAATTTTTTGGCCTTCAATATTTTGCGCTAGCTGGTTATTCTCTAAAGTATATATTATTTAAAACATAATATGTATTTGTTACATTTTATAATTCTCTAAAGAATTTATAAAAAGTTGTACAACTTGTACATTAC